CCCATAAAATAATTATTTTCATACATATTTTAATTTTTAATATTTGTACATAATATTATTTATTATTTTCTTGCACAAAAATGGACAAAATATAAATATAGAACATATATTTCTTTTAATAAAAAATTAGGGTTTCACCCTTTCAAAAATAATAATATTTTTTCTCTTATTTTTAGGGCTTAAATAAATCATTTTTCTCATACAAAAAATCAAATACAAAACATTTTTTCCATAAATACATTGCATTGCATATTTAAATATTTGTATATTTATTTATTTCGCACAATATTCAATTGGGTTGTAATAGTATTTTTAGGGTTTATTTTGTGCAATATCCCCATTCAAAAACTTGTATCCCCCCTCCCATAATAATTGTTGTAATAGCATAGTTTACATTTACGCAATTTATCGCATTTATACCATGTTTAGTAAAACTAGGGTTTGCATGACAAGACCAAAAACAAACAAATAGAAAAGACTTAATCCAAGACAAATCAAATGCATGAAAAATGACACACATTGCACACAAGCACCCTTAGGGTTTCACCCACTTGGTTGCCTAAAACAAAAACGGCCATGTTACGCATACGAAGTATCTTGGCAAAACAAAACAAAATAAGATCATAGTCCCTCGATGACGCTATCAAAAGGTTGCCTAAAAAAATGATCTTGGTCCCACAAAAAAATGCTAAAGATACTTGGCAACATTGCTATCATGGTCATACGATGACCCACGCCCGTCCCGTTTATATCCAAAGATAGGGTTGTTTACCAAATCAATGGTAAATCAACAATGTCAAAGGAATAAAAATGAATAGGAAAGGCATTTGAGTAGGTAGATAGCTTCTAAGTTACTTGCTCCATTTCAAAACAATCCTTGCTATTTTCAAAAACAAACACACACACATTTTCAAAACATTTCCAAACAAACTTTCAAAATATTGAAACATTTTTCAAAAGACAAACATCTTTGTATACATTCTTACGAACGAGAATTATTACAAAGATTGCCTAAACGATGGCCTATTTTCAAAATACTTTCAAAACCACACACAAAGCACCATTTCAAACAATTTCAAAAGCAAAGCAAGTGATCTAAGCAAGTAACTAAAAGCCCATGGAAAACCATGGATGAAAAGGGTGCTAGCACCTTCCCTTTTCATAATCTATCCCTCGAACTCAAGAAAACATCTCAAAGGTCTTTCCTGTGATTTTTTTTACCTTTCCTTTTGGATAAAATAAAAGTCGGTGGCGACTTTTGCTAAAACACGACATTTGCGACGAAACGCAAAACCTCAAGTCAGTTCTCCCACCGTATCACAAGAAGCCTCTGAATCATGAAGTTAGCTGTGAAGGGAATTCTGTGAAAATATTATAAAAGTACAAGATCTTGTTACTACAGTATAACATCCTATCCACTATCCTACAAATTAGGATAAAGGACTGTACATTATACTGTTACTGCTTTCACACGTCCCATCATTTATCCTAGTGTTGCTCCACCACTTTACTCACGAAGTAACTAACGTCTCCAACGACTATTCATTGTATGGATACTCAATCTTTCCTTATCCAATAAATATATTTTCTTTATCTATTTATAAGAGAAAAGTGGAAGATTAAAGATAACGATGTAGAAAAAATATACACAAAAGAGTGGGAGACACTGGATATGGAGAATGAAACTGCTCAAGAAGAAGACACATACAAGAAGAATAAAATTTGTGTACAATGAAAGTATGAAAGAGTATTCAAGAAGATTAAAATAAGATTATATTTACATAGAGCTAAAGAAACAAACTAACACATTGCAAATGGAAGAAAAAAGAAGTTCCAGCAAGAAGAAAATAGCAAGTGTTAAGAAGATCTTCAAGAACAACAAGATATAAACACTTAGAACTTTATATTTCAAATTATTTTAACTGTTGTCTTTTAAGCTTAAATTTGTGTAATCTACTTTATATATAAGCAATCATCTATACACACAAACATTGCTTTTAACCAGTTAGTTAATTTCCTTGAAGGGCCAAGTTTTGTCATAATTCTTGAGATGTCAATAACAGTTGTTATTGAGGATTTCCTTGAGGGACCATGTTAGGTCAGAATCCTTGAGAAGTCAATAATAATTGTTATTGAGGATTTTCTTGAGTGACTAAGGTTAGTTAAAATACTCGAGATGTCATTAATTGTTATTCTTTGAGTTATAGTTCCTTGAGGGACTAAGGAATAGTCAAGATCCTTGAGAAGACATTGACGGGTAGTCTTTGTAGTTGTAATCATGGAATTGATTATTGGATTAAGTCTTTGATGATAAGGAAAAATCACTCTGGTGGATGGACTAGACTAACCTAGTTACCTTTGAGCTTTACCATTGAAAAGGTTGTTACTAGTCTTTCTATTGTTGTTTCCTGAAGAAGAACTGGGATGAAAAACTGTGGATTCTTCAGTGTTGGTGCTACTGGGAACAATCACAGAATTTAAATTATTCAACTCTCTTTCTTATTGAATAACAAGAGAGAATGCCTTATCAATGTATGGTAGCAGATTTATCATCATGATCTGAGACTTGGAGTGAGTGAATTTCTCATTCAATCCTTTGAGAAAATATATAACATAATCCCACTCATGATACTTGTGAATCGATGCAAGAGTGCCACAAGAATAAGGAATATCAAAAGAACAAGCTGTGATAGGTCGATAAGTTTCTAATTCATCCTACATAACCTTCATTTGTGTAAAATAGTTTGAAACATCAAAATTACCTTGGCAAAATTTGTACAAATCTTTCTGAATGTCTGAAATGCGGAATATATCACCATGAGAAATCAAATGTGCAAATTTCTTCATACACCAACTGTGCTATCGATCTATAGAACTGACCTAACAATGGATTCTGAGATTGATCGATGAATCCAAGCTAAAACCACAGTGTTGCAGCGAATCCACAGAGCATAGAGAGGATCAGAAACATGAGGTTTCGTGAGAGTTCCATCTATGAATCTTTCTTTATTCTTTGAAATCAAAGCAATATGCATTGATCTCGCCCAAGTATGATAGTTCTTGTCATCGAGCAGTGGCGTAAAAGGAACAAGAGATGAATTTTCATTCGGATGCAAGTAATATGGATTCGATGAATTTGTGGAGAAATCATTGAAGCTCGGGAAAGCCATTAATGGAGAAAACAAGAAGAAGATGATTGCAAATCGAGAAAGATAACGAAATCAAGATCAGAAAACGAACAACAACGTAATCGAAGGAAGGATAGAAACAATGGCTACCCGGGCTTGTTAAGCTCTGATACTATGTTAATGGTAATCAATTCACCATGGTGATCCATTGAGAAGGATGAAGGAAGAAAATACAATAGAGAGAGTTTGTTACAAAACAACTATGATGTAACTGTATTTTTCATTAATTAAATTAAATAAATTACAATCACTTTATATATGTACAAGATAAGATAAGTAAATGTGTAGTACACAATAGCTAAGTAGAGTTATTGTGTGGCACTATACTAGAGGTTAATGAAGCTATTTATGGAGTATACTGTAAAGATATAATGAAGTATGCTAACTGTTCTGGACTGGGTCTGCCCTTGGCTCAACTACCAGTGAGGCCTAATCCAAGCTTGCCAACCTGCTGCGCTGAGCAGTATTTCTCCTGAGCACATCCTGACCACAGATGTCTTGTCGACCAAGACTGCTTCCCGTTGGTGCTCGCAGAGACCATCTCCAACGAGCACGCACTCCTCCCGAGCACCTTCCTCGTAGAGCTGACTTCCAACCTCTCTAGATTTCGCGGAGTCTTCGTGGTCCCGGAAAGACCACGTCCCTATCCTCCCTGTCTTGCGGAGGATATTATCTAGGTAGGGGGCCACGTGCGGGTCTCCCCTACACACATAGAACCTGGAAGTCTCTTTGTTGAGCTTGTTTGATCAGTCCAATAAAGAGACTTTGACCTAGCGATGGGGGCTATAAATACCCTCTCTTCTGAGAGGGCCAGGTATTCAACTCATATATCAAAACTCTTACTTGCTTGCTCATTCCGCTTCTTACTTTGCAATCAGAGTGTCTTGCAGGTACTCCCCATCTAACTCAACTTCTGCCCGAGCCAGCTGTGACGGTCCATCTCTGACGGTCCATCTCTGATCCTGTAAACTCAAGATACACTAAATTCAGTGCCACTAAAATCTTGTATCAATAAACTACCTGAGTGAGCCATTCATGACTAAGCGAGCCAAACCATAATACACCATTTTCTAGAATTTATTTTTTCGCTGAGCGAGAAAACCTGTAACTAATCGAGACTCTATTTTTCATAACCGATAAAAGTCCACTTTTATCCTACGTTTGGTTAAGTTAGAATTCTAATCTAACTCCAACAAATCGAATCTCTTGATATAGGGTGACAAGAGAAAATATATATAAATAGAAAATTTTAAAAATTTATAAAAAAAAATTATATCTACGAAAGTACATAATCTAAAAAAACATTATAATTAAAGGCGAGTAGAATTAATGACATAATTAAAATGAAGTAGTTGTTAAATTTGTTGGTAGGATTAGCAGAATGAGCGTGAAGTAGCGCGTAAAATGGCGCAAAGAAAAGATGGCAGTCAACGAAGCACCCCACCCCATCTCATCTCATTAACCACAAATATAATTACCCCATACAGGTTGAGGTAAGGTAAAGTAAGGTAAGGTGATGAGAAATTTCAAAATATGACATTGTCTTAACGAGAAATGAAGACAAATATAGTAAAGTAACAAATCAGGACATTAAGTTTCGCTTTTATTTATAATTCTAGAGAAAGAGAAAATTCAAAAGAGAGAAAGAGGAAGAGAAAAAAGGAAGGAGACCATGGACATGCCGTCTGCTCATCGTCTTTGACCATCTCCTTCCTTTCACATTTTCTCTTTTTATTTTATTTCTCTCCCAAAACCCTCCCTTTATCTTATTATTATAATCCCATTACACAACAAATAGATCTTGTATAGATCATGGGAAATTGCTGTACGATTCCAAATCTCAAGAACCTGAAACAAAAACCCAAGAAAGATGACAAGACCAAGACCAAAACTAAGACGAAGAAAAACACCAATAACACCAAACTGGAGGTCTTGAAAGAGCCCACGGGCCGAGAGATTGGGCTAAGCTACGAGTTAGGGAGGGAACTAGGGAGAGGAGAATTCGGCATAACGTATCTATGCAAAGATAGGAAAACGGGTCAAGAATTGGCCTGCAAATCCATTTCTAAGAATAAGCTTAGAACTGCGATTGATATTGAAGATGTCAGGAGAGAAGTTGAAATCATGAGGCATTTGCCTAAGCATCCTAACATCGTTACGTTGAAGGATACGTATGAAGATGACGATGACGTTCATCTTGTTATGGAACTTTGCGAAGGTGGTGAGCTTTTCGATCGCATCGTTGCTAGAGGTCATTACACCGAACGCGCCGCTGCTTCCGTCGTTAGAACCGCCGTCCAAGTTGTTCAGGTCCTATTTCTCTCTTTTTATGTTTTTCATCTTTGTTATTATTTTTATACAATATAACAAACAAGGATGTTATTATCTTGTGTTTTAGATGTGCCACAAACATGGTGTCATGCATCGGGATCTTAAGCCCGAGAACTTTTTATTTGCGGACAAGAAGGAAACATCGCCTTTGAAAGCTATTGACTTTGGTTTGTCTATTTTCTTTAAACCAGGTAATGCTTTTTACTGGTTACAGAATCAGAATCACTTGCCCTTCATATTTTGGTCCTGCTATCCATGCACAGTTTACTGAAGTTCCTCATTCTCTGCAGGTGATAGATTTAATGAGATAGTTGGAAGTCCATATTACATGGCTCCTGAAGTATTAAAAAGAAATTATGGCCCCGAAATTGATATCTGGAGTGCTGGAGTGATTCTTTACATCTTGCTTTGTGGTGTTCCTCCTTTTTGGGCAGGTTCGTTTTTGTCTTTTCAATGCGCATTTGGCTTTTGGGAAGGGTCTTTCTTGTGCGTTATAAATTTGATTTTGTAAATCTTCTATTTCTTAAAATGCAGAAACTGAGCAGGGAGTTGCTCAAGCAATTATACGGTCGGTTCTTGACTTTAAAAGGGATCCATGGCCAAAGGTTTCTGATAATGCAAAAGACCTTGTTAAGAAGATGCTTGATCCTGATCCTAAGCGCCGACTTACTGCACAGGAAGTGTTAGGTAATATGCAGTTTATATAATTGAATGCTTAGGTAGGTAATATAAAATAGAATTGTATGGAATATTTTCCGCTTAGCTGATGGACATTTTTGTCTACCAAAAAGTTGAAAAATTGAAAAGTGGAAATGTTAACATTGCCTGTTAACTGAATGCAGATCATCCATGGTTGCAGAATGCAAAAACAGCTCCTGATGTTTCATTAGGAGAAACCGTTAGAGCAAGGCTGATGCAATTTTCTGTAATGAACAAACTTAAGAAAACAGCATTGAGGGTAATGTTACATTAATACTTGAATGTCTCATGGGAAATGATTTCTAAAATATTTTTCCATTCATGACCCTTCTATTTTGGTATTTTTTTTTATTTTGTTATATTGGACTTTCGTGCGAGCAGGTGATTGCAGATCATTTGTCTGTAGAAGAAGTTGCTGGAATTAAAGAGGGATTCCATGTGATGGACACAGAAAATAATGGCAAAATTAACATTGACGAACTTCGAGTAGGGTTGATTAAGCTAGGCCACCAAATTCCTGATGCAGATGTCCAAATACTTATGGAAGCTGTGAGTGTTTTCTTTAATTGTATGTTTATAGCCTAAGCACTTATCATCTAAAGTGCTTATGAAGGTGTACTACATATCCTTTAAGAGGCGTCTCTTCAACTTATAATATTTGGGAGCTGCTTTTGCAGGGTGATGTAGACAAAGATGGGTACCTAGATTATGGGGAGTTTGTAGCCATTTCTATTCATCTGAGAAAGATATCCCATGATGAACACCTACACAGAGCATTCCAATTTTTCGACAAAAATGAATCTGGGTATATTGAACTTGAGGAGTTAAGTAATGCTTTAGGTGACGAGATTGACAAAAACAGTGAAGAAGTCATTAATGCAATTATGCAAGATGTGGACACAGACAAGGTCAGAATTTTCAATAAATTCTTGTTTATGCCTTATTTCCCACTTGGTAACATTCTACATCTTTGAAACACCCTTTCTACTGGTGTTTTATGGAAAGTATACAAATTATTCTCGATCAAAATTGTAACTTAAAAAGAAACTTTCTCGTAGGTAGTTGTTTCATTTGTCTATATTAGGAAATTGGAACCAATCTGATATATTTCTTGGTGAAATTGTAGGATGGAAAAATAAGTTATGAGGAATTTGCTGCAATGATGAAGGCTGGAACTGATTGGAGAAAAGCATCAAGGCAGTATTCGCGAGAGAGGTTTAACAGTCTTAGTCTAAAACTGATGAAGGAGGGGTCAGTAAAAATTGAGCAATGACAATGAGGCTAGATGACTTTAGAAAATGGCTAATTTTAGCCCTTGAAGGGCAAATGTTATAAAGAAGTCATCATCATTTTTCTATTTTCATTCATTATAATTCTTTTATATATTATAATTCTGAATTGATATTGAGACCCCCCGTCCCCCAATTTTTGGGTGTTGATATAGGATATAGGTTGGAGTGTATGTTTGGGTAGCTGTTGTTGGAGCCCCAAACTCAGTTTGTTGTATAGAAGCAACGATACACATCCTTTTTGGTGCCAATTGAGCAGTGATATATGTTTGATTTGCAGTTTTATTCCACTCTTTTGGTTTGTTAAGGTTATCATTTGAGAAAATGCAAGGATGGGAGGATTGGACAAGTCTTCAAATTCTGTTGCTATAAATATTTCAAATATTCACCGGGTACAATGACTAATCATTTGACACTTTTAGCCTAATGTTTATATTTTTCTTGTGTAAAATGCACACCTGTAGATAGGCATGGCATTTTTAGCCATATGAAATGAATAACAAATTAAATGACTTTTGGAATACATAATGTAGATTGTACTGCAATTATCAATGAAACTTATGTAAGATATTGGTCACTAATAATAACCTATGGTGTTTTTATCAGCTTTCGCGAACAAAGTTTTTATATTTTTTAGTATTCAATTATAGTTATTAATAACTTTTAAGAGATGTGATTTGTTAGTTTGGCATATGCTGCCCACAGGTAGAACTATGAAAAAAAGAGACTCCATTTTTTAGAGATTTTCCTAATTCATCCATGAGTCCTTTTTAGGGACCTCTATGAGTCCTTTTTCATTGATTTTAAGTGAGCTCATTGCTTCATCTAATATTAACTCGGATAAATGTTGTCTACACAACACGGAGATGTTTCAAGTTTTTGGAGATTCTGTGTTGGCTAGTAATAATTTAACCATGAAAAAATAAATAGAGGTTCTATTCAATTACGATTTAACCCGATAAATATTTGAGGGTTTCTTTATACATCCTTATGTCTTCTTAGAGGCCCTTGGCAAAATTCCCGTAATACCCTCAGATTTCAGATATTCATATCCGAACTCACCATATTCTATTTTTTACGAAATAGTTTCAGATATGCATATTCGAAGAAACCGCGCTTAATTTCAGATATGCAAATCCGAAATATGCTGAAGCAGTGAATGAATTAAAACCCTTGAAAGCAAACCAACTTAACATAGATTTAACATAAATAATCAAAATTACATAGATAGTTGAACATAAATTTAATATTATATATTGTTATAAACGGGTAGCGGAGACGTCACAACATTTTGATAACATCTTCTCCCGATCTTTGAAGCTTCACATACACTTCAATCGGATCCTTAGTAGAGTATCACTGAAAACTACTCCACATAACCTTTAAATCGTCACCCGTCTTCAACTCAAACTTGGTGAACTTTATCTTACCTTCAGTGTCAAGTGAGGGTGAACGGTACTCGACCTTGACCACCTTTCGATTTTTCGTATATTGCAAGAGAGAATTCAGTGTGGTAATGAGGCTAACAAAATGTGTGTCCTCAAAGAAGAATTTAATATATTCGTCCATGCATCTATTATCTTCACCCTTGATTTCTTTGTTTTCGACCGCGGGTTTTAACTTAATTCTCACATTTTTATTATGTGATATCGACAAAGTAATGCGTATGAAGTAGGAAACACACTTCCAACCACATTCATAAGGGCATTATCTTGGCCGGTTACAATGACACTATGCATATTTTTTGGATCCTTCAATAAAGAGTTGCATATATCCGACGCACATGTTACATTGTCTTCTTTCTCAGGTTCCAGCAATGCAAATCCAACCTAAAATGTCTTCTCCGTAAAAGTGACACTAACAATTTGTAGAAGTGGAAGCCTATATTTGTTGGTCTTGTACGTTGAATCAATTATAAGGACGTTTGGAAATGTGTTGAACAACTTGATACTTTCTGGATGAGTCTAAAATATGTCACGAACACTGACTTTATCCTCACACACTCAGTACCTTGAAACATAGTGTTTATCGTCCAAAATTTCAAAAGTTGTTGCATTTCGAATCTCGAACCTCTAGTTACCGTGTTCTGTTGATAATGTTCATTGTATATCTGCTTGATATTTGAAACACTTTGTGGTCTTTTTCGTTTTAAATTGACAAGTATGTTTCTCGGTGCAACTTTGATCATCGACATTTTTGAAATAATTTCCTACTCCTCTGGCTTAAGCCGACATACAATTGAATGAATTTGTAGCTTCGTGTCCAACGCATGATTATATAAACCACATATGACATTAAACCGTCACAAATCATCCACCCTACTGTATCCGCGCAATTTAAATGGACAGTCACTTTTTTTTTATCTGGTGTCTTCATGTTTTAAGTTTCGAACTTTTGGAAAATATTTTCCACTTCTCTCGCATGTCATCGTTACAAATGTCTGCCTTCTACTAGTGCAATTGTGGGACCTTCCAATCACAACGCCAAACCCGAGTTTACTAGATTCAATTCGGACCCACTCTAGCATATTTTGACAACCATCATCACATCATACAACATCAATTCAGTGTTTATGCAATACAATAGTCCTACATCAACATGCATGTGGTACCATCAAGGCATAAGCCTTCAACTCAATGCCAATTGGGCAATAACAAAGCATAAGCCCTAAACACAACGCCAATCCAGGCCAACATCAAGACATAAGCCCTCATCCATGAATGCATGAAATATGAACATGCAACAACGTGAAATCATACAACCACAAGGAATAAGCCTTCATCACCATGGAAATTTAAGCCATTTGTATCATCCTCGTCATAATCACTAACATTGCCTCATACCGGCATCATCAACAAAAGAACATCGCAAGAAAACAACCCACCGTTTTGGTGTAACAATGGGGAATAATTCCTATGTTAACATGGTTACTAGACTTATCCTTCTAAATATTTATTTTATTCTACTTACTTCAATTTTATGGTGTTAGCTATCCAATGCTTCAAATGACTCATCGAACGGAGTTACGGTTCAAAAGTTATGACCGTTACAAAAACGGTCAAAATTGGGCTTCCCACAGGTTAGGTTGCGCGACCCTTGAGTCGACCTCTCCTGGCTTTTACTTTGACCGCCCCTGCTGTTTCTGTTTGCCGCTCACTGTTGTTGCTGTTTGCATCGACCGCTTCCTTGTTTGCGTCGATGCAAATTGTTAAATTCTGAGTTTTTCTGCGATTTCACTAAATTTTGGGTCCTAAAACATTATCTAATCATAGGAATTCATCATCTATTATCATCCCATGTTTCTACATTAATTATACATCATTTGGACATTATTATTCATCTTATATTTCATCAAATCCTCATCAAAAATCCTCAAATCCTAATTCTCATTACTTATAGGTTCTAGATTGGGGCTTTATGCAACAATCATCCTAACAACACAATCACAACAACAATCACAACATAGCATCACAAATCCATGTATAATCATATACAACACATCAATTCAATCAAACCAAACAAATTATGCATCAATCATATAAAACAACCTAAGAGGGAAATGAACCCTCACTATCCTCTCATGCAAGATCACCAATTAGAGAATCTATTCACCCCTTACCTTATGATTATTGTTAGCTTTCGATTCCTCTTCTCGTTCTACAAATTCCTCTTTTCTTCCATGTCTGTTTGTGCCCTAACTTCTCCTTTACTCTTCTCCTAATATCTCGATCGTACCAAATGATCGTACAATTCTCTTTCCCCTTAGTTATCACAAGGACCCCTAATATCTTCCTCAATTTCCCTCACTTAACATTATACCATTTACCATCATGCCCTCACTCTTTCTACTAATTACCATCTTGTCCTTATTTTCTCCACACTTCTATTGTTCTATTATTCTAATTACTTAAATCCAAATAATTCCAATTAATCACTATTAAATCTAAATAATTCCAAAATAATTATTTAAATTCCAAACTTTCTTACTAACTCATCCTACACCATACAACTCATCATCTTAAACACCTTATTCATCAAATCATCGCTATTTGCATCACAGTTGCATCACGAATACACATCATATACCGTCACAAGTACTCACACAAGACACCAAAATATCATAAATAAGCATCAAAACATCAAAACACCATCTACTTCACATAGACTCATATAATCATACTAAATTAATTAATTAAATAATTAATCTAAAATTCTGGGTGTTACATAATTCTTCTACTCTAAGTAAGGTAGGGAAATGTTTGGGCCAAGGGTTACACTTAGGTTAAAAACAAACAAGAGGGAAACATGCTCAATGGAGTTATGCAAGAGATAAAATTAAAAATGTTAGCATTAAAAGCTCAAGGCTAAAAAGAAACAACTCATTTCAGTGTGTGCAAACGATACAAATGAAATCAACTAAGATCATACACAAGTTTTGAATAATGAATACATACCGAAATGCTCTCTCATGATGAAACAACATGTTTGGCTTTATCTATTCCTTACCAAGTTGGTTAGAAATGACAATTTCTACAATACATCCTGTTTGATGTGGTATCACAATTAGTTATAACTGCTCAATCTTTAGTACAACTCAATTAAACCACATTAGAACATTTAGAAGTATTTAATATATTTTTTTACGAGTTAACATGCATGAGGACTAAAAGTAGCAACATGGGTTGATTATTAGACAATCTATATTTTACTATGAAGTATTAGATAACCATACGAAAATACATAAACATAAAATAACCAACAAAAAAGAAACAAAACTAAGAACTTAATTTAAAAATGAAAAGTATAAAATAAACTAAAATAAATATAAAGTAAGAGTACCTTTCTTGAGTTTCCTCTCGATCATCATCTGTTTAACGTCATTAGCTTGACGCCTCGTCATCTATGTTATGGTGGATACTTCGTCTTCCAAATCTTATTACTTTTCATTTTGGAGATGAAGAAATCAATTTTTCCAGAGACATAGACCACTTTGTGCAGTAGGTTACTTCATATTTCCATAACATTACTTTGATGTCGCATTTTCTTTTTTCTCTTGGATTTTGGAATGAATTTTTTAGCTTTATATTCAAAGGTGTCGGTGAAGATGACACAATTTGATATGTTGTTCTTGAGATTTTTTCTTGTGGTAGTATTTGAATTTGGTGTTTGGTTTAGTAATTAAGTATGGATTATGAAAAAACACATGTTTGAGTGGTCAAAATGACTATTATTCATACTTTTATTACAGTTTTATTGATTCTCCGATGACATATTTCTCAAATGAATGCTAAAAATATTTTTCTAAATGGTGATCTACACAACAAAGTCTATATGATACCTCTCCATAATGTTTCTCTTAAACACGAGAAAGTGTGTAAGATAAATAAAATTTTATATTAATTTAATAATGAAAAAATATTAGACTTTTTAAAACAATAAAACCGCAAAAAAAAAAAACATTTGTTACATAGCATATTAGCATATGCTTACCCCAACAAAAAAAAAGAATGAGGTATGATAAATTTAGTTTAAATTTATAATAGACAAAGTCATCGTCTTTGATCATCTCCTTCTTTCCCTTGGCATTTCAAAGTCATCCCTTAAATCTTCTTTCTTCCACTGCCATCATAATTCTCTTTACTTGATGAGATTAGTTGAAATTGACACCACATGATGAAAAATTGCTGGGCAAATCTATGGCTTATGAACAAGAAACAAAAACCAAAGCAAAAACCGAGACTGGTGGTGCTACAAAGGCCCACGGAAGAAGGGATTGAGTCTAGATGGAAGAGACTAGGTATCGGAACTACGGGAGAGGGACTTGCGTGCAAGTCGATTTCCAAGAATGAACTTAAAACAGCGATTGATATTGAAGGGGTCAGAAGAGAGGTTGCTATCTTGAGTCATTTGCCTAAACACCCTAACATCGTTACATTGAAGGATACGTTTGAAGACGACGACCACGTTCATCTTGTTATGGAACACTGTGAAGGTGGTAATCTTTTTGATCGCATCAATGGTAGAGGACATTTCACCGATGCTAACCTTTTGGATCGCATCAATGGTAGAGGACATTTCACCGAAAGCAGAGCTGCTTCTGTCATTAATACCATCGTCCAAGTTGTTCAGGTCATCATCATTCTTAATATCTCTTAATTCTCTCTTTTTCTTTTCAATTTTTTAACTATACTTACTAATTATGTTTGGTTATATGATTTTCATTTTTTTTTCTTGTGTTTTAGATGTGCCACAAACATGGTGTGATGCATAGGAATCTAATACTTGAAAACATTTTGTTTGCAAATAATAAGGGAACAGCGCCCTTAAAAGTTACTGACTTTGCTTTGTCAATTTTCTTTAAACCAGGTAATGCTTTTTGCTACAAGTTTGATTTTCATAGTTCAGTCCTGCCATCCAAGTACATTTAACTGAAGTTTGTTATTCTCTGCAGGTGAAAGATTTCATGAGATAGTTGGTAATCTATATTACATGGCCCCTGAATTGTTAATGAAAAATTATGGTCCTGAAGTTGATATATGGAGTGTTGGAGTAATTCTTTACGTCTTACTTTGTGGTGTCCCCCCGTTTTGGGCAGGTTGGTTTTTGTCTTTTCAATGCTGTTTTCGACTGTTGTGAATAAGAAATCTTAAATAGCTCAAAATACACATGTAGGTCACTTGTATTCAAAAAATAATTTACTGATCTTTCTTATGTGGATGAAGATGGTATTTTTGTACTTAAAATGCAGAAACTGAGCAGGGAGTTTCTCAAGCAATTATACGGTCGGTTATTGACTTTAAAAGAGATCCATGGCCAATGGTTTCTGATAATGCAAAAGACCTTGTTAAGAAGATGCTTGATCCTGATTCTAAGCGCCGGCTTACTGCACAGGAAGTGTTAGGTAATATGCAGTTCATATAATTGAATGCTTAGGTAGGTAATGTAAAACAGAATTGTATGAAATATTTTCTGCTAAGCTGATGAACATTTTTGTCTACCAAAAAGTTGAAATATTGAAATGTGGGAATGTTAACAATTCTTGTTAACTAAATGCAGATCATCCATGGTTTCTGAATGGTAAGACAGCTTCTAATGTTTCTTTACGAGTAACCGTCAATGTACGGCTCATGCAATATTTTGCAATGAACAAACTTAAGAAAACAGCATTGAGGGTAATGTTTCATTAATAATTTAATATCTCATGGGAAATGATCTCTAAAATATTTTTCTAAACTTTAAGAAAACAGCATTAATTTTGTTATATTGGACTTTCGTGCGAGCAGGTGATTGCAGATCATTTGTCTGTAGAAGAAGTTGCTGGAATTAAAGAGGGATTCCATGTGATGGACACAGAAAATAATGGCAAAATTAACATTGACGAACTTCGAGTAGGGTTGATTAAGCTAGGCCAACAAATTCCTGATGCAGATGTCCAAATACTTATGGAAGCTGTGAGTGTTTTCTTTAATTGTATGTTTATAGCCTAAGCACTTATCATGTAAAGTGCTTATGAAAAGTACTATATGAAGGTGTACTACATATCCTTTAAGAGGCGTCTCTTCAACTTCTAATATTTGGGAGCTGCTTTTACAGGGTGATCTAGACAAAGATGGGTACCTAGATTATGGTGAGTTTGTAGCCATTTCTATTCATCTGAGAAGGATATCCCATGATGAACACCTACACAGAGCATTCCAATTTTTCGACAAAAATGAATCTGGGTATATTGAACTTGAGGAGTTACGTAATGCTTTAGCCGACGAGATTGACAAAAACAGTGAAGAAGTCATTAGTGCAATTATGCATGATGTGGACACAGACAAGGTCAGAACTTTCAATAAATTCTTGTTTATGCCTTATTTCCCACTTGGTAACATTCTGCATCTTTGAAACACCCTTTCTACTGGTGTTTTATGGAAAGTATACGAATTATTCTCGATCAAAATTGTAACTTAAAAAGAAACTTTCTCGTACGTAGTTGTTTCATTTGTCTATATTAGGAAATTGGAACCAATATGATATATTTCTTGGTGAAATTGTAGGATGGAAAAATAAGTTATAAGGAATTTGCTGCAATGATGAAGGCTAGAACTGATTGGAGAAAAGCATCAAGGCAGTATTCGCGAGAGAGGTTTAACAGTAAAAATTGAGCAATGACAATGAGGCTAGATGACTTTAGAAAATGGCTAATTTTAGCCCTTGAATGGCAAATGTTATAAAGAAGTCATCATCATTTTTCTATTTTCATTCATTACAATTCTTTTATATCTTATAATTCTGAATTGATATTGAGACCCCCCGTCCCCCAATTTTTGGGTGTTGATATAGGATATAGGTTGGAGTGTATGTTTGGGTAGCTGTTGTTGGAGCACCAAACTCAGTTTGTTGTATAGAAGCAACGATACACATCCTTTTTGGTGCCAATTGAGCAGTGATATATGTTTGATTTGCAGTTTTATTCCACTCTTTTGGTTTGTTAAGGTTATCATTTGAGAAAATGCAAGGATGGGAGGATTGGACAAGTCTTCAAATTCTGTTGCTATAAATATTTCAAATATTCACCGGGTACAATGACTAATCATTTGACACTTTTAGCCTAATGTTTATATTTCTCTTGTGTAAAATGCACACCTGTAGATAGGCATGGCATTTTTAGCCATATGAAATGAATAACAAATTAAGTGACTTTTGGAATACATAATGTAGATTGTACTGCAATTATCAATGAAATTTATGTAAGATATTGGTCACTAATAATAACCTAGGGTGTTTTTATCAGCTTTTGCGAACAAAGTTTTTATATTTTTTAGTATTCAATTATAGTTATTAATAACTTTAAAAGACGTGATTTGTTAGTTTGGCATATGCTGCCCACATGTAGAAGAACTATGAAAAAAGTGACTCTTTTTAGAGATTTTCCTAATTCATCCATGAGTCCTTTTTAGGGACCTCTATGAGTTCTTTTTCATTGATTTTAAGTGAACTCATTGGTTCATCTAATATTAACTCATACAAATATTGCCTACACAACACATAGTTGTTTTATGTTTTTGGAGATTCTGTGTAGGCTAGCAATAATTTAACCATGAAAAAATAAATAGAGGTCCTATTTAATCACGATTTGATTCGATAAATATTTGAGGGTTTCTTTATGTACCCTTATGTCTTTTTAGAGGCCCTTGGCGAAATTCCCGTAATACCCTTAGATTTCGGATATTCATATCCGAACTCACTCTATTTCATTTTTTACGAAATAGTTTGAGATATACATATTCGAAGAAACCACGCTTAATTTCGGATATGTAAATCCGAAATATGCAGAAGCAGTGAATGAATCAAAACCCTTGAAAGCAAACCAACTTAACACAAGTTTAACATAAATAATCGAAATTACATAGATAGTTGAACATAAATTTAATATTATATATTGTTATAAACGGGTAGCGGAGACGTCACAACATTTTGATAACATCTTCTCCCAATCTTTCAAGCTTTGCATCCACTTCAATCAGATCCTTAGTAGAGTATCACTGAAAAGTAATCCACACAACCTTTAAATCGTCATCCGTCTTCAGCTCAAACTTGATGAACTTTATCTTACCTTCAGTGTCAAGTGAGGGTGAACGGTAGTCGACCTTGACCACCTTTCGATTTTTCGAATATTGCAAGAGAGAATTCAGTGTGGTAATGAAGCTGACAAAAGGCGTGTCCTCGAAGAAGAATTTAATATATTCGTCCATGCATCTATTATCTTTTCCACCACCAAACTAGATTTGACCATGTCTTCATCTTCACCCTTGATTTCTTTGTTGCCGACCTCGAGTTTTAACTTAACTCTCACATTTTTATTATGTGATACCGACAAAGTAATGCGTATGAAGTAGGAAAGACACTTTCAACTGCATTCATAAGGGCATTATCTCGGTCGGTTACAATGACACTATGCATATTTTTTGGATCCTTCAATAAAGAGTTGCATATATCCAACGCCCATGTTACATTGTCTTCTTTCTAAGATTCCAGCAATGTAAATCCAACCGAAAATGTCTTCTCCGTAAAAGTGACACCAACAATTTCTAGAAGTGGAAGCCTATATTTGTTGGTCTTGTACGTTGAATCAATTATAAGGACATTTCAAAATGTGTTGAACAACTTGATACTTTCTGGATGAGTCCAAAATATGTCACAAACACTGACTTTATCCTCACACACTTTGTACCTTGAAACATAGTGGTTATTGTCCAAAATTTCAAAAGTTGTTGAATTTCGGATCTCGAACCTCTATTCACCATATTTTGTTGATAATGTTCATTGTATATCTGCTTGATATTTGAAACACTTTGTGGTCTTTTTCGTTTCAAATTGACAAGTATGTTTCTTGGTGTAACTTTGATCATCGATATTTTTGAAAGAATTTCCTTCTCCTCTGGCTTAAGCCGACATACAATTGAATGACCTTGTAGCTTCGTGTCCAACGTGTGATTATGTAAACCACATATGACATTAAACCGCCACAAATCATCCACCCCACAGCATCTGTGTAATTTAAATGAACGCTCACATTTTCTCGATCTGGCGTCTTCATGTTTTAAGTTTCGAATTTTTGGAAAATATTTTTCACTTCTCTCGCATGTCATCGTTACAAATGCCTGCCTTCTACTAGTGCCATTGTGGAACCTTCTAATCACAACACCAAACCCGAGTTTACTAGTTTCAATTCGGACTCACTCTAGCATATGTTGACAAACACTGAAATTTTGATCATTTGTAAATATGAAAATTTGTCAAACATCTACCGCGACAATAATCATTTTGACATCGTTCTTCAACTCTTCCGGCTTAGCATCCTCATTCACCTTGTGTATATCCTTTACAACAACTTTGAGAAACATGTCAGGGTGCACCATATCTAAAACGGTCAAAAACATAAAATTTGTTCAACACAAATTTTGTTTTTTTGTAACAGACATTGTTTCGGATACGCACATCCGAAATATGTTAGGTGAGTTTCAGATATGCATATCCGAAGTGACATTGTTTTTTAACCAAAATTCAGAATCAATGTAAGGAAAT